GTACCAACTATTCGAATGGCCCTTTTGAATGTAGTAAGTAACAGTTGAGTTCAGGACAAGTTTAAGGTCGTCCTGAAATTAACAGTTGTGTTCAGGACAAGTTTAAGGTCGTCCTGAAAGTAACAGTTGTGTTCAGGACAAGTTTAAGGTCGTCCTGAAAGTAACAGTTGTGTTCAGGACAGGTTTAAGGTCGTCCTGAAAGTAACAGATGTGTTCAGGACAAGTTTAAGGTCGTCCTGAAAGTAACAGATGTGTTCAGGACAAGTTTAAGGTCGTCCTGAAAGTAGCAGTTGTGTTCAGGACAAGTTTAAGGTCGTCCTGAAAGTAACAGTTGTGTTCAGGACACTCACCAGTAATTTGCTGTTTTGCTGTTGTTCAGATTCGGAAGGCCCTGCGTAACCCCGAAGTCTACGACAACTTCCTGAGATGTCTTATTCTCTTCAACGAGGAGATAATCTCTCGTCAGGAGCTCGTTCATCTGGTCACACCTTTCCTCGGGTGAGGGGCGGCCCCTGTCATTACTACTGAATTTGAACTTACTGTGCCTCTTTTGTGAGTGTTCCTATTCCTACAATCTCCCCTTATCTCACTCTCTTTAACCCTATTCCCACTGTCCCTTTTCGTATTTATCCTTACGTCCCTGTCTCCATCCTAATCCTTGTCTCTCTCAAATTTTGCATATATTATTGATCAACTGCTTTAATTTTATCCTCCCACCCCCCCTTCCCACTTACAGCAAGTTCCCGGAACTCTTCATGTCTCTGAAGGTGTTGCTAGGTTTTCGAGAGCCCGGCCTATCAGATCAGCTCTCCACCGCTACCATGACAACCGTCTACATGCCCAAGGAGAGAGTTACCGCCGATCTTGCCGCTGAAATTGGTCAGTTGCTTCACTCACTCCCTCTTCCTCTCTTTCTTACCATTGGGTTTAGTTCTATCCTTAGTAACTCGTCTAAATTTCGATTTTCCCTTTGACATTAATTTCACATACAGAAAACCCAAATTTCTTATCCAATATACACGAATTTTTCCTCCACCAAAGAATTTTTACAGAGAAAACTTTCGCAGACTCATTTCCGTCCTCCTTCTCTCCCTCCCTCCCTCCCTCCCTCCCTCCCTCCCCTCCAGATTTCAACAGTCTAAAGCGTCAGGGAGCTAGCTATCGAGCTCTCCCAAAGACCTACGTCCAGCCCAAGTGTTCGGGTCGAACGCAGCTGTGTTGCGATATTTTGAACGATACTTGGGTGTCCTTCCCCATGTGGTCAGAGGACTCTACTTTTCAGGGGACGAGGAAGACTCAGTTTGAGGAATATATCTTTAGGTGCGTGTGTGTGTATGTGTGTGAATGAAGGATTGAAGACGGTTAGAAATGGCTTAATATTTGAAGGTTTGATACAAGTTCTCTTACATTATCATACAGTACATTAGCCAAATGCATGGTACCTAGCACCATAGACGTATGGGGCTATGATAGGGAGTTTTGTTCATCTTCTTCTTATCATACATTAGCCAAAGGGATTGACATGGTACCTAGCAACATAGGCTATGATAGGGAAGGTTTTTTTCACGTTTCCCCTCCCTCCTCCCTCCTCCCTCCCTCAATGCAGATGTGAGGACGAGAGATTCGAACTGGATATAGTACTAGACACCAACCTCTCCACCATCAGGATTTTTGAGGCTCTTCAGAAGAAATTTTCTAGGTCAGTTGGTTGATTAGGATTTTTGAGGATGATGTAGTGCCTGATTGACTTGGTCTGTGTCTCTCTCTCTCTCTCTCTCTCTCTCTCCTCTCTCTCTCTCTCTATTCTCAGGATGACTCCAGATGATTTGGCAAACTTCTCTCTCGAAGACAGCCTCGGTGGACGCTCCGAAGTCCTGCAGAGGAAAGCCATCCACAGGTCAGAGGTCACCATTACGTCATAATGACATCGTAGTTAACTGTGATTGTGATTACATTCTTGATTGTTGTGCCGTTTTTCTGTTGCTAGCATCATTGATGCTGTTTTTTTTTTATATGATGCTGTATAGTTTATGACCATTACGTCATTATGATGTAATTGTTTATTGCTTACCAGGATCTATGGCGACAAGGCTCCAGATATAATTGAAGGAGTGAAGAAAAGTCCCGCTGTTGCGCTGCCTATAGTCCTGAAGAGGTTCAGTTTTTTACAGTAGAACTTTCCAAATTGCTGATAACAATGTATTCAGCACAAGATATCAAGCAATTTATGGTACTAATAGGCACGGTGTAGTTTGGAATTACTTGGTGTGCCACTCAGTGTGCCATCGAAGTTGCCATCATTGTCTGGTATATAGTGCACTACTGCATGTGTACCATCGAAGTTGCCATCATTGTCTGGTATATAGTGCACTACTGCATGTGTGCCATCGAAGTTGCCATCATTGTCTGGTATATAGTGCACTACTGCATGTGTGCCATCGAAGTTGCCATCATTGTCTGGTATATAGTGCACTACTGCATGTGTGCCATCGAAGTTGCCATCATTGTCTGGTATATAGTGCACTACTGCATGTGTGCCATCGAAGTTGCCATCATTGTCTGGTATATAGTGCACTACTCGCATGTTGCATCGAATGTCATCATGCATCATTTGTCTGGTATATAGTGCACTACTGCATGTGTGCCATCGAAGTTGCCATCATTGTCTGGTATATAGTGCACTACTGCATGTGTGCCATCGAAGTTGCCATCATTGTCTGGTATATAGTGCACTACTGCATGTGTGCCATCGAAGTTGCCATCATTGTCTGGTATATAGTGCACTACTGCATGTGTGCCATCGAAGTTGCCATCATTGTCTGGTATATAGTGCACTACTGCATGTGTGCCATCGAAGTTGCCATCATTGTCTGGTATATAGTGCACTACTGCATGTGTGCCATCGAAGTGCCATCATTGTCTGGTATATAGTGCACTGCGTGTCATTGCCATCATTGATGTGCAAAACATCGACGTTGCCATCATTGTCTGGTATATGTGCACTACGGCATGTGTCCATCGAGTGCATCATTGTCTGGTATATAGGGCCTATGCATGTGTGCCATCGAAGTTGCCATCATTGTCTGTATAGTAGTGCACTACTGCATGTGTAAGTCCCAGGTCGAAGTTGCCATCATTGTCTGGTATATAGTGCACTACTGCATGTGTGCCATCGAAGTTGCCATCATTGTCTGGTATATAGTGCACTACTGCATGTGTGCCATCGAAGTTGCCATCATTGTCTGGTATATAGTGCACTACTGCATGTGTGCCATCGAGTTGCCATCATTGTCTGGTATATAGTGCACTACTGCATGTGTGCCATCGAAGTTGCCATCATTGTCTGGTATATAGTGCACTACTGTATGTGTTTAGAGTGAGCTAGGTTCGAATTGACCAATCAGATTGCAAAGCCGAGGTTTACTATTTCCCGTAGTAAACCTCGACGGGGTTTACTACATGTAGTAAACCTACAGAAACTACAAAACCTACAGATAAAACAGGAAAACATAACAAAATGTACATGTAAACAACAAGATCAACAACTGAATGTCTGGTATATAGTGCGCTACTGCATATGTGTACCACAAAATGTATGTTAATGTCACTACAATTTGTGAGGCGCATGGATTCAATATTACGCTGTCGCGAAACTTTTTTCTTTTTGCGGCGCCCTTTGCAAAATTGTGAATATAGTGTGTATATACGTTAGTTGCTATTGAATTGTGTGTGTGTGTGACTTGTAGACTGAAAGTGAAGCAGGAGGAGTGGCTAGAGGCTCAGCGATCGTTCAACAAATTGTGGAGGGAACAGCTGGAAAAGTATTACCTCAAGGTACATATTATTATAATTATAGAATGAGGCACTTCTCACAATTGATAGTGTTACTGCTGTGTGCATGAAAAGTAACCAGAAGTCACCCTACACCACCTAAGTTCTCTCCCTTCTCCCCCTTCCTCTCTCCTCCTCCTTCCTCTCTCCTCCCCCTCACAGAGCCTGGACTATCAGGGTATAAACTTCAAGGCCCTGGACACGCGCTCCATGAGATCCAAAAGTCTCGTTTGCGAAATTGAGAGCGTTTTTGACGAGAGACAAGAGCAGATGGCCGAAAACTTTGCCAGCAGTGGTCCTCATCTCTCTTTTGCCTTCCCTGTAAGCAAGCTGTAGGCCATATATGGACACACGATGCTTAGTTGCCGCGCGCAACTTTTCTCTCTTTCTGCATTTACTAACCTCATTAATTATTCACGAGGCCACTATCTAATTTACTAACCTCATTAATTATTCATAAGGGACACTACTGCGTGCAAATGTATTAATTGGCCCAATCTGAACCTAGCCCACTCTAAATACAAAGACAACCTTCTCTTATATTTCCTCTCCCTATCTCTCCAGTCGGAACAGAGAGTATTTGCAGACGCCGTGGGTCTCGTGATGTACTATCTGAAGAGGGCGTCCAGCATGCAGCGAGAAGATGCCGTCAAGATTCGATCTTTTCTCACACAGACTCTGGCCGACTTCTGCTACTATGACAAGTGTGGCTGTGTATAATTATTATTCTTAGTTGTATGCACTCTGTCACACTCACACACACACACACACACACCATCTTTACACTTGTGAGTATCACTAGAGTAAAATACACATCACCAGGGACACTAGAGTAACAAGCCCACTTCCCCCTTAGGAAATTCCATACCTATGACATCACAACTCCCTATAAATACCCTCCCTCACTTCCTCCCTGGTCCAGAGTGGAAGTAGGTGTTGAAGACGATCTCAGTCCAGAGAGTGGGTCGGATCCGATGGACGTTGACGACACCCCTAACGACGACGGAGAACGCAGGTCATCATCCACTGCCAACATCAGCGGGAGCCTCTTCCCCGACACCATGGCAAAATTTCATGTAGGTCGTTAGCTGCTGGTCGATGTCTTTTTTCACCTCCTCCATTCCTTATTTGCCTGTCCTTATTCTTATTACTAGAGAAATGCTCATGAGTGAAGCGATCAGCTTTATTTTTTGCGTTTCACGCGTATTTAGAATCACTGTGTGTGCATTGCTTGTCACATAATAGAAAGTTCCACATTCAGATGACTTGGTATATTATAGGCTAACTTCACTCTCCATTTTACCCTCTTCCCTCGTACCTCACTGGCCTTAGTCCTATCTCGTCCTCATCTGGCTGTCTCTATATATCACTATCTCTCTCCTTATCTTGCTGGGACGGTTAGAATCGAGGAATGTGTGAGTTAATTAATCTTCTCTGTTTTGTGCAGGTGATGGACTATCATTTAATGTTCACAAACAACTCTGTCTACACGTTCTTCAGACTTCTACATGTGAGTGTCGTGATTTCAGTTTTAGTTCAACACCTCTTCCTCTCCCTCACTCTCTCTACTTCACATTTCTGTCTCTAAATATCTCATCTTACTTCTGGGAGGTGAGACAGACACCTCGTGTTCATATGGTGTATGTTCGTTTGTTAACGGTTCCACCCATTGCTCTGGGTGCGTGGTCTATGTCCCTATAGTGCTATGGCAGCCACCTGAGTATTATTATTCTCATCTTACTTCGTTCTACTTCTTCCCACCCCAACCTACCTACTCCCTCCAGATGTTGTGCGAGAGAGTTGGTCGTATATACCGCGAGGCAATGGGCTATATCCGTGAAGAGGAGAGATCAAAATCACAACGAGAAGGAGGAGAGGAGAAGAAGGAGAAACTGTCGCCGGGGGCAACGTTGCAATTAATCTAGGAATAAAAAAATCTCGTGAGAAAATGTTTTTATGGTTTGCTACGTTTTAAACTTTTTTTTCAGCTGACATTCAAATTGACGAGTATTTCCCGACTTTCTTGAACATGGCCAAGAATTTGATGGAAGGTAGTAAAAAATTTCGATCGAAGCTCTTTTTTTACGTGTGGGGACTGCAATCAATTGGGTTTCTGTATTTAGATAAATAATTAGCCCTTACTGCCACATTCACTTTAACCCTTTGTACTCCATGGGTATCTAAGCAGAAATTGATTAACGCCTAATATTATAGCCATATATTAATTCTTATGGACTTATGGAGGCTCTGGGCATATATATATATGGCCGTGGCTTGCTAAGGGTTAACTGCTGAATATCGTACTTTTACACGTTCCATCGCCAGGTAACATAGACAGTACCACGTATGAAGATACGTGCCGAGAGATGTTTGGTGTCCATGCCTACGTGGTCTTCACCATCGACAGACTGGTCCAGAACATCGTCAGACAGGTTTGGAACCCGTTTTACCATCAACTAAGCTATCATCCTGCAACCCAAAATTATTCTCTCTCTCTCTCTCTCTCTCTCTCTCTCTCTCGTCCCCAGCTGCACTCCATGTTGTCGGAGGAGGGCTACCAGGTGATGGAGCAGTTCTCTGTCTTTGTGGAGCAGCTGTCTCCAATCCACATCTCTGCCGACCAGCGACTGCCTCTCGAGATGACGTACCAGAGAAAAATTGAGGGAATACTAGCCAATGAAAACTGCTTCAAGCTCAAATTTGTGGGTTGGGCTGCTAAACGATTTTAGCGTACTTCAATGCCAACTTTTAGGGATCTTAGTTAACTATTCTAAGTCAGATCTTTATGCATGCTGAGAGTATTTTTGCATATTGTGATACCAACTTCTGTACTGCAACTAAGCAATTTCAAAATTTTCAACTTCACTCACTGAGCTTTGCGAAAATTTTACCGTAAAGTTGTTGTTTGTTGTTGTTGTTGTTGTTGTTTACTGTTGCAGTACAAGGCGGGCTACAAGATGACAATTGAACTAGTTGACACCGACCTCTCCAGCGAAGGACTAAACTCTTGTTCTCCCTCGGATGTTCAGGTTTGATAAACCGGTTTTGTTTGTCGTAAAAAATTCTTCGTACAAAATAAAGTTAGCTAGAATCGTTAGAGAGTGCGCAGTACATTCTTTTGTGTTACCATTAATTTACATACTACATTACATATATTTATTGTATTAATCTTCTTTCTTTGTCTCAAATGCAGAGATGGCTACATTACATCCAGGAGTTCAGTAAAGCCGATGAATTGCCACTTCCTGAGCTAAAGGAAGCCTTGGCTAAGAGAAACAAGCTGTTTCTTAAGAGGTATGATTTGAAATAGGGAGAGAGGGAGAAGAGAGAGATTGAAAGGGATAGAAATAAGAGAGTGATTTTCATTCCCCGCTTAACAAAACTAGAATTGGCTTTGTTTCTGCTCTCGTATGGTAATACACAGCTTCTTTGTGATGCATGGGTGCTAGAAGAATAGCAAAGATGCGCTTAAATCACGCATTGCTTGCAACCACTTTACACTAGTCCAACCACCCGTTATAGAACCAGAGTAATGCATAAATATTCCGGAGCCAGGCAAGCTCGTACTGTGTTGCCATGACGCCCCAGGAACCGTCGCGTGTGGCCGAAACAGCAGTCAGTGGGATCGCCAGCCCACGAGGACGAGGTCCGGATCATCCACACCAATCTGCCCAAGATGGAGATCCACGGATCCATTCAGTTCAAGTTGGACAAGAACGCCTACCGAATGATCCCCCTTGCCAACAGCGAGGACTATCTCTACAACAGAGGGTCGCTGCAGAGACAGCGGGAGGTGAGGGGGAGGGGCTTCTGGGGGGGCAGCTGCTTTCGGGTTTAACCCTTTCTGTTCCAAACTTTAACTAACCCTTGTTGTCAGTTGATTCATACTTTGTCATCATTATGATGACTCTGTTTATGAAAATTTCTTGATGTAATCATCGCACGTAATCGCTCTCATGCTTAGTTCGGCCATTTTTTGGCCTGTAATGCTGCTATTCAAGTGCCTTCCTACGATTTTTGGGGAACTTACAATGTATTAGAATGTGGGTGGACTTACTGTACTAATTGGTGGCTGTTTATTTTTCTTCGCAGGGAAATTCTCGATCGGCCTGTGTCAAATCTCGAAAATTCTGGAGCTGGCACAACGCCAACTGGAGGAGCCGGATTTCTGAGCACGACGCCAGCGAGTGCCAGAGGTGGCTGTTGTCGGGGGAAATCCACGACGAAGCCACGCCCCCTAAACAAAGGTACTCGACGTCCTGCTCAACGGAGGACGTCCTCGGGCAAAAGAGACGACGTTATATCACCACCGTCACCCCTGACGACGCCCTCTGACCTCTCTGACCTCTCTCGATATTAACCCTTTTCTCTCCCCATAATGGCTCGCATATGCACACGTGGATATTCCTCCCTCTTTGTAGGCAATGTAATGCTACATCTTGCTGCCTTTTTCACTGTCATTTCACCAATATATACGTACGCACTACGTATTAACACATTTACACGTAGAATATGATCTGTTGTGATTATATTGTATAGCATTAGTAGGGGCTACGATAGATGTGACAGCATTTCTCATTGTAAAATTTCCCTGCAACTGGCTAGTAATGTTTCTTCTGATGCTTATGCTTGCATTCAAACTTGAAATCGGTCGAAAGAACGTTGTCGACGACGTAGTCCAAATAGTGCCCGTCAATGAGGTGGTTTCCCTGGTAACCGGGGTTCATGGCGACCCAGCAGAGTTGGTCGCTGGGGACGTTGTGTTCCATGTAGGCCCACACGGGTTTCCTCATCACGGGGACGGGATCTTTACCAGGTAGCACGAGGAGCTTCTTGGCTACATCTATCTCCACTCCCTTTCTAAAGAACTGACCTGTGTATATATGTACAGTTAGAGATGCACCATCACTGCAACTGTGCTTCACTTAAAGGGAATGTGGCAGTATAATTATTATAAGGGATATTTAGAAATGTTACTAAAGATAGAGCAAAACAATAGGGCCCAGTGCAAGAATGCAAGTATGCTACTGTTCTTAGTTTTTCTTAGCCATTTATACTGCCACATCTCCATTGGGGACATATGTACGTACGTACCAATCAATCCGTGGGAGTTTTCGTTTTCTTCCAGTTTGTTCCACATCATGTCGAGGTGCTCGCCGGTAAAATTCACCGTGAAAGTCATCCCGAGGTCGTCCAGGTTCACGCGTACAGAGGGATAACGGAACCCCTCGGCCATTGCCCCCTCCGATACAAGCAGCTTTCCGTCGCGAAACGTGATCGCTTCGATGTTCTTGGCTTCGAGCGTGACTCTGTCGTTGATGTAGATTTCGTTCAGTTTCGATTCGAATCGGATTCGAGTCGTGTTTGAGCCCTGGAAATGAGTGTTCTGGACGACAATTCCGAGGGAGCCGATCCAAGTAACCTCGTCGCGTTGAGAATCGGGGACAAAAAGCGCGTTCATGTGGATTTTTTCGTTGCTGATGAGGTTGAAGGCAAAGCCGTGCTCTCCCTGGACAGTGTAGCAGAGGAGTTTTCCACTTTGCAGGAAGATGGCGAAATGCGGGTCATCTCCTACTCCTGGGCCTGTATACACAAGTAAGAAAATAATTATTTTCAGGGCACCGAACTAACGTTTTCCCATTTTGGTTGGCTATGCCTCAATACTGAAGGTTATTCTATTGAGTATAATGGTGCTAATTATTACCAACGTACACTTCTCAACTAAAAGTCGACAGTTTCTTAAAGGCAACTTTCAAAGAACAGTTTGTTGGCCAGTGAATGCAGCCAACTGAAGGGGAGGTTAGTCACTAGTCAGTATAGTTCTACGAGAACCGAGAATCCTCATTACACCAAAGCATTATGCATGCCATCGTCTAGGAATAGTGTCGAGCAAACAACTTATCGCTCTAACCACCAGTCGTGGGGGTTTCCGTGGGGACCATAGTTGGATCGTTGTCCAAGATGGTGATAGTTGCCGTGTCTGGACTAACAGTCACCGGTGACACGTTGCTGCCGGCCTCCGAGATAATGGCGAGAAACGATTCGGTTGGTTCAGCCACGGTGTTATCGCGGATTGTCACGGGGACGCAGAGGGCCTGGTCCTGGTTGCCAGGGTTGAATTCTATCATTTGTGGATCAACCTGCTCGTAGTCCATATCCTCTGCGAAACAGAGTGTGTGTGAGAGAGAGAAGGAAATGAAGGGTGTGTTTTAACAATACGCTGGGCATATATGCCCAGAGCCTCCATAAGTCCATAAGAATTTATATATTATTATGGCTATAATACTAGGCATTACATCAATTTCTGCTTTTAAGGAGATACCCACGGCATCCAAAGGGTTAAAAACTAATAATTAATTATGGTATAGTCTCGGGTAGTCAGAGCCATCAACGATGTGGACAGTTTGACACCGTCACACCGCTCACCTTGGGCTGTTCCTGGGACCAAGGTGAGCGCCACCCTCACAAACTGGTTCATGGCGAGCTGTCCTTCAAGTAGTCTCACGCAGACTTGGAAAGGATTTGGGGATATGTTCTCCTGCACTGTGTAGGTTGCCGGCTGGAAACCCACCTGAACTGTAAGGACACAATCGTAAGAACTTGAGTCATATGGCATTATTATTACACGTTTAAGGCTAGGTTAGATCGACGGTTGCAGATGTTGATAAAATATGCAAGCTGTTTGCTGACCTTACCAAAGTATATATTATAATGGGTCAGAAATACCCAAAAAGTTTGGATCATTTGGGCTTTCAACTGGGAGATAGCTAGCCACCTCCTGTCTACTGAAACACAGCACAAACATGCACTAGACTAAACATCATCTGTATAATATATACTAACTCACATTGTTGTTGTGGGGGGGCATCATCATCGACAATGCAGACTGGGGTGGTTGGCTGGGGGTTATTCACTCCGGCTGGAGCAACGAGATTGAAATTGAAACATTCTTGTCCTTCAACTACTGAGTCATCGTTAATGCTGATAATGGCACATAGAATGGTTTGCAGGGTGGAGAAGGTAAAGAACCCCGATACTCCCGTGTAATCTTGCCCGGCTGTGAAAAAATGGGAGCAGGAGCTAATGATTAACAAAATGAGCTTATGTATACACGAAATAAACATGTGGGAAGAGACAGCTATATAGCAACAACCTGATATTAGTGCATTAGTGTTTCATTTAGTATCATTATAACATCAAACATCAGAAAATACTTACCAATGGCTTGGTCATTTTGAGTGCTGTAACTAACAGCAATATCATCAACAACATTAGAGGCTTGCACGCAGATCATCACTGAGACATCTGCTTCGCCGACAGTGTATGCTGCGAGCACAGGCCGAACGACAGGTGGCGTAACTGCAGGACCTAAAAATTGCAGAGGTGTTACGTAACACGTAACGCACAGTAGTTTTTGCGCACGCGCATTGAACCGTTGGTAATTATCAATACACGCCCCACCACCGCCTTACCGTCATTGATGCATACTGCAGCAGTTGACGGGTCAACTGTTACATCGGCTGGCAGATTAGTTTGATCAAATCCCACCACAAAACACTCTGTACCCTCGGCGATATTGTCTGGGAGGGTGGTCACCGTAATACACTGCGTCGACGTCGTAGTTCCGCTGAACGTGAGGGTTCCGGGTGGTATCGCGACGAAATCTGAGCCGCTAACTACATAAAAAAAAGACCGTAGCTATAACGTATTACATACGGCACACCAATGAGTGAAATTATAAGTAGCTATATAGCTAGAGGCAGAAGAGAATTAGTTGAAATTTAGTGGTGCGACCGAACCTGCTGAAGCATCCGTTGCGAAGTAGTCCAGCGTGATTGTCCGCCCTTCCGGATTGCCGCTCGCGCAAACCATGCCCGTGTCGCCTTCAGCTATATTCACCGTTGCAAAACCAATCACGACAGGCTCTGCAGAGAGGAAAAAGGTGTTACAGAGAAATTATGGTAAATAGGGAGGTCTCACGTGCAACGACGGTTCCAACGATAGCGAGACCCACGAAAATGACGAGTTGTGCGGCCATAATTATTTCGCTGTTCGCTCTCTTTTTTCTCTGAGGATTTGTGCTGTAGCGACTATCTAGATATATAGCTATGCGACAATAAAGCCTCAATAATGCTAGTACCTTGCGGTACCATGCGCCACTGAGGGCACGGCAAGATCTTCACATAGCGCGGTAACTACTTCGCCCCTGCGCATGCGTTCTCGCGCAAGTATATAGCGCGCATGCGTTACGTAAAATCTTCATGAATTCGCGCGTGCGCGAACTTCGTAACTTATTGTTGTTGCGGTTTTCCTCGATTTTTCCATATGCAGCAAGCGAGCAGCGATGTCTTCTCTGCTGAACCACTGGCAGTTTGTGTTTCTCGTATCTCTCTCACTGTCACTCACGTTTCTACACGTCAAAGGTAACAATAGCTAGCTAGACGAATGGGTGTGTGTTTGAGGCTGCATATTTTCTTACGGGTCGGGAGAAGAAACTTGTAGGGTAACGTGTGTGTATGTACTGCATACCGCGGGGCTGCTTCTGTGTTGATGTCGGAGCGGTCGGCGCTCGGCGCTCGCGGGGGCTGGTACGGAGCGTGTTTTGTTGGGGCTACACAAATGTATGTAGCTATATACTGGCTGGGCTGGAGCTCCGTTAGCTGTACACCGCCTCTCGCTGGCACTTGGGTTTACCCGGATCTTCTCTCTTCCCTCTCTCCCTCCTCCCCCTCTCTCCCTTTCTCTCCCTCCTCCATCTCCTCCTTTCCCAGTCTTGGCCCAGAGAGAGGGAGATCTTCGACTCGCAGGCTATGGTGCTAGTCGTCTCGCCGGACGACTAGAAATCTTCCTCGGCGGAGAATGGGGCACTGTCTGCTCACATCGTGACACACTGGACGTCACCAAGGTAGCCTGTCGCCAACTAGGACTCGGTCACTTTGTCGGACATGTACCCGGGTCTTCGTCGCTCAGGTAACACTTGTTGCTCGGCAGCGTTTACCCCCGTGGTGATTGGCGGGTAATTTGTTGTCCATTCACAGCGACATTTGCACCGTGTAAGGCAGATTTAGTCGGAAAAAAGGCAGGTTTCTGACTCAAAACACGCTCACAGCTTGTTTCAAACCTGTTTGCGATACATACCTTGCATGCCATGGGCATATGTATTTAACAGGTGTGAGAGTGGAATCTGTCCAACTGGTGTCTGGATTTGAGGAGTTCCCCTGTACCACCAACACCTCTTTCATTAACGTTTTAACTAACAAACTATAAATCAGTGTAATTAGCTTTCAGTGCCGTATCTTGCGTGTAAAACAGTGTTTCAATAAAAGAAGTACAAGCTCAAATTTGGTCAGAAATATGCCAATTAGTAAGGAAAGCAATAAAAGGTATTAACCTGTGGTAGGTATGTATGTAGTATAGCGATACAATTCTCGGAAATGTACAGCGATCATGAAGAAAATACCTTCCTGGTCCTTTTAATTACATTCTCACCACCAATATTTATCATAATTATTATGTGCTCTGCAATTTTTGACGACCTAACATTACAACTGGAAACATTATTTTGGCTATATACAGTGTGCCACTATATTATTTTAGCGGCATTTAATCTTCAAGGAGGTATTTCAATAATTAATACACTAAGCCTCTATAAGGATATAGTGAAGCCTCTCTCTCTAAGGACACCCCGGAAATGAAGGCACCTCTCTAATGAGGACGCCTCTTTTTACAAGAACAGTTCTTGCACGCAATTCAACCCCTGAAATGAGGACACCTCACTAATAGGGACACAACGGTGTCTGGATTAGAGAATGGTTCCACTGTAAATATGGAATTTCAACTTTGGAAGTGGTGAGGGTGTGTGTGTCATCTGTTTGTTGTTATCCGGGCATTGTGTGGTGTGGGAGTTTTGGCCTAAGGCCCCATCCTTTGGTGCACGTGCCTTGTGTTTCTAGTGGTTGTTGTGTCTTTTGCAGGCTTTGAGGAAAGAGGGATGGGAGGGGGGGAGGATGGTGTGTATCGCGGTTTACAGTGGAACTCCTCTAATCAGGACACCAATGGACAGTAAAAGTGTCCATATTAGTGAGGCATCTGTGCATGCAAGAACTGTTCTTGGGGAAGGAAAAGGTGTCCTTAGAGAGGTGTCCTTAGAGAGGTGTTCCACTAGAATCTGAACTGCTCCAACTATTAACAGTCCTGCCTAACCTGTTCGTAAATCTTGCCTGACCGGTTTTGCGAACAAGCACAACCTCTCTAAAAGGCTCGAGCTGTAAGCAGACAACGTTGCTGCAAATATGGCAACAAATTTCCTTTTCTCAATTTCGGCTACAGCTCATTACACCTGGTAAACACTGTTTCTTTCGTATCGTCCCTGGTTCTACACCAATCTACATACCACTGTTTCTTTCGTATCGTCCCTGGTTCTACACCAATCTACATACCACTGTTTCTTTCGTATCGTCCCTGGTTCTACACCAATCTACATACCACTGTTTCTTTCGTATCGTCCCTGGTTCTACACCAATCTACATACCACTGTTTCTTTCGTATCGTCCCTGGTTCTAGACCAATCTACATACCACTGTTTCTTTCGTATCGTCCCTGGTTCTACACCAATCTACATACCACTGTTTCTTTCGTATCGTCCCTGGTTCTACACCAATCTACATACCACTGTTTCTTTCGTATCGTCCCTGGTTCTACACCAATCTACATACCACTGTTTCTTTCGTATCGTCCCTGGTTCTACACCAATCTACATACCACTGTTTCTTTCGTATCGTCCCTGGTTCTACACCAATCTACATACCACTGTTTCTTTCGTATCGTCCCTGGTTCTACACCAATCTACATACCACTGTTTCTTTCGTATCGTCCCTGGTTCTACACCAATCTACATACCACTGTTTCTTTCGTATCGTCCCTGGTTCTACACCAATCTACATACCACTGTTTCTTTCGTATCGTCCCTGGTTCTACACCAATCTACATACCACTGTTTCTTTCGTATCGTCCCTGGTTCTACACCAATCTACATACCACTGTTTCTTTCGTATCGTCCCTGGTTCTACACCAATCTACATACCACTGTTTCTTTCGTATCGTCCCTGGTTCTACACCAATCTACATACCACTGTTTCTTTCGTATCGTCCCTGGTTCTAGACCAATCTACATACCACTGTTTCTTTCGTATCGTCCCTGGTTCTAGACCAATCTACATACCACTGTTTCTTTCGTATCGTCCCTGGTTCTAGACCAATCTACATACCACTGTTTCTTTCGTATCGTCCCTGGTTCTACACCAATCTACATACCACTGTTTCTTTCGTATCGTCCCTGGTTCTAGACCAATCTACATACCACTGTTTCTTTCGTATCGTCCCTGGTTCTAGACCAATCTACATACCACTGTTTCTTTCGTATCGTCCCTGGTTCTAGACCAATCTATATACAACCACTGTTTTGTGGGTAGGAGGATCCACTGAAGTTTAGGCAAAAAGTATTTGATCTGTAAATCCTCAAATTGTTCTGCTTATCCACTGCAGATATGGTCTTGGTAATGGAGCAATTTCGTTGGAGGATGTCAGTTGTCGTGGAGACGACCTCCATCTCCTCCGATGTGACATCGGGTCTGCGTCATGTGACCATCACATGGACATCTCCGTCATGTGCTGTGAGGGGTTAATTCATTAATTCAGAGATGCATCAGTATATATGTAGAACGCAAACCCCTCTCTAAGGACACCCCTGAAATGAGGACACCTCTCTAATAAGGACACATTTTCTTTCCCTAGTTCTTGCATGCCAGAAGTAAAACTTTCCCGTTGGTGTCTGGATTAGTATTTCAGAACTGAGACTTTCTTCAAAATAACCCACTTTCAGTAGCTCAGTTAGTGCAGCCCCCAATGCATAAAGGTGCTTTAAGAAACAATGAAAGATTGTCTTACCTTATTGCTTCATGGTGTATTTGGTGGTAAAACGTTTACTGTTTATATTGAAACAGAAACGGGAAAGTGGGCAATGAGATGGGTCCCAGTGGGTTCAAAATTGTTTGTTGTGGGAAGGGTGGAAGGGCAAGTCAAGTTGCAAAGTAATTCACACCATGTGATTTCCACTGTAGCCAAAATAGAGGTCATATTACACGTGTGTGTGTGTGTGTGTGTGTGTGTGTGATTACGGCATCATGAATATTTCATCAACTGGGAAATGTCTCATGTTGATGCAAAACATTTTGTAAACAGAGAAGGATGTCTGCAACCAAGGAGACAATCAGATATTACAACATGCATACATGTATATACACACTACTTCCCCCCTCTCTCACTCCTAATGCAGCTGGTATTCTGACCCCCTACGAGGGCGAAGTACGATTAGTGGGCGGAGCCTACGCCTCAGAGGGCGTGGTTCAGATCAATCTACATCACACCTGGTCCACAGTCTGTTCCACCGACGTGGAACCTGGACTGGCAACCTCCATGTGCAGACAACTCGGCTACACTCGAGCTCTAAGGTATACTCACACTATTATCATACAGTACAACAATGGCCAAACCCTTGTTGGGCTGTGGGGTTCAAATCCCTTAATGATAGGTCCCTATTGTAGTTGCAGCCTCTCCTCTAGCCTCGTCCCCAGGCCCCACCCCCGCGAGAGAGAGGGCCTGGTATCTACTGCTTGCGCATCCTCTTACTCCAGTGTTGGGCATTACTCTATCTGTACAAGAACCCATTTATGACCGCACCCCTCTCCTCTCCTCTTACTCCCAGTGTCCAACAGGCTACCAACGTCACAGGCCAGTTTCTGGAGCTGCCTTCCTCCTCTCACTGCTCCATCTCCTCCTACCCCTGCATCCAGTCTTGTCTCCCTGATCTCCTCTCCTCTCCCTCCTCTCCCTCTTGCTCTGGAGACGGCCTCTCTGCTTGGAGCATCACGTGTGGTACGTTATTCCAGCAACTTTGTCTCACGCTGCATAATTCCTCCATCCACTCGTGAGTAGTTTTGCACGACTCCGTCCATTCCAGGGATATCGGAATCGGAGTTTGGGAATGCGACCAGTGGCTCGACGACAGATTGCGCAATCCATAGCACGCAGGCCGAAGAGTACGAAGTTCGTCTCCACGGTAACCACCCAGGTAAATACAGGCATAGCGTACAACATGCACGTATGTAAAACAGTATACGTCAATATTTACTATTGACATGACATATTGGGTGGTCCCCTGTAATGAGTTCCATTCAGTCGTGAATAACCAAGAATTGGGAGTGCCTCCTTGCCATCTGTCTCTTCCTAAAACAGTTGTAATCTCTTCCCAAAACAGTTCTTCGTGATATTTGTACTGTAGTGTGTACAACGGTGTATAATAGTATGTGGGTTTGTACAGCTCTAATGGACGTACATATATGGCAATGTCTACATGTCTGCGTAGTATTGTAGAGTTAACGAGATTATCCTTTTCGTTCGGTTTGTTTGTTTTTGTAAAACCCTGAAACTGTTTGTTTATTGTTTGTTGTTTGTTGTTTGTGTGAGAGCAGACCACGGCAGGGTGGAAGTTTACGTGGAAGGGCAGTGGTCCACCGCCCAAGAACTGAGAGATGAAGAGGCTACCGTCATCTGCAAACAACTGGGCTTCCCTAATTTCTACCTTTCTCTCACATCTTCCGATTCCTCACTCACCGAGTTAGTCACCTATACACGAGTTGGGAACCCCTCTAGTCAGGACACCAATGGGGCAGAAGAAAGTGAGTGCGGTTTTATCTCCTTCCCTCCTCGTGCAGCCTGGATCTAGAGCCAGTCCCCGGTTCCCAGATCAGGCTCTTCTGTACTGGACTGGAGACACACGTGAACGGCTGCTCTTTCTCCTCACCTGACGTCACTGACCACACCACTGATGCCTACATATACTGTATGATGTGTAATAATGTATTTGTATACAGTGGAACCCCTCTCTAAGGACACCCCTGAAATGAGGACACCTCTCTAATAAGGACACCTCTCTTAGGACACCCCTGAAATGAGGACACCTCTCTAATAAGGACTTTCCCCAAGATCAACCTTGAGACTTCACTAAATATGGAGACGTTCTTCTGTCCCATTAGTTTCCTGATTGGAGGAGTTCCATTATGCTAACTGCTTTTGCAGCTTTGTTGTACGTATGTACTCCCATAATTACTTTTAACCCTTTCTCCACTAGGTTCTTCCACCCACGTGTTAAGGTTCTCCTTATAGTATTATTAACCCTTTCTCTACTAGGTTCTTCAACCCACGTGTGTTAAGGTTCTCCTTATAATCTTATTTTAACCCTTTCTCCACTAGGCTCTCCAATTCTCTGGCCGTTTGGATCACTCCAGCTAGTGGGCGGGGCTGGTCCGTTTGGGCAGCTGCTTGTGAGCCCGAAACGTGATTTCCAGTGGCTCTGCGACGCTCATTTCACCATGGCCGAGGCTGAGGTCGCCTGCCGACAGATGGGATATGCCAACGCCATCAGAGTCGTTGAGAACTCCCTGTACGGAGATTACACTTTTTGTGTTTTCGTAATTCTTTTTGTCTCTCCTTCTTTCCTCCCCCTCGATCCCCCCCTGCAAAATGCATCAATGCTTTATTATTCACAGTGAAGGGATGATATTTTACCTTTAACCCTTAGTCTCTCAGACTATCCCAATGGGTCTCTCTTTAACCCCTTAGTCTCTCAGACTGTCCCAATGCGTCTCTCTTTAACCCCTTAGTCTCTCAGACTATCCCAATGCGTCTCTCTTTAACCCCTTAGTCTCACAGACTGTCCCAATGCGTCTCTCTTTAACCCCTTAGTCTCTCAGACTGTCCCAATGCGTCTCTCTTTAACCCCTTAGTCTCTCAGACATTCCCAATGCATCTCTCTTTAACCCCTTAGTCTCTCAGACTATCCCAATGCATCTCTCTTTAACCCCTTAGTCTCTCAGACATTCCCAATGCCGTCTCTCTTTAACCCCTTAGTCTCTCAGACATTCCCAATGCGTCTCTCCTTAACCCCTTAGTCTCTCAGACATTCCCAATGCGTCTCTCTTTAACCCCTTAGTCTTTCAGACATTCCCAATGCGTCTCTCCTCCATTACTCACTGCTGTGTTCCGGAGACGAGGACTACCTGATGGCCTGTCAGAGGCGGAGTCTCGTCAACGAATACTGCAGGGATGACCTCGACTTTGTCGCCATCCAGTGTGGTGAGGGAGGGAGGGATAAAATAAATCACAAATCAATTGTTATGTGAAGAATGTTTCTAGTTGTAGAAAGGGAAAAAACGAGAAGAAAGAAACAAAATAGACTTTTTCCCAATTCACAGGTTCAAGTAGTTCTACTGGTGGATGGAGAGTCAGACTCACACCCGTTGCCGCCGACAACGACGGTGTCCATAACGACAGTCACCGTGGCAACGTCAGTGGGGGTGTGAGGGAGGGGAGGGTGGAGGTTCGGCTGGAGGAGGGCAGGGAATGGGGCGGAGTCTGTGCAGACGAGTTCTTGGATCTGTCTGCCCATGTCGCGTGTCGGCAGTTGGGGTTTGAGACTTACAGTAGTGTGGCTGCGGTGGAAAGGTGGGCTTGGGGTTAAAGATAAATATCACAAGGGGGAGGGGTTAAAGATAAATATCATAAGGGGGAGGGGGTTAAAGAAATGACGTATGTTTGACTCATTAAAATACAGCGGAACCCCTCTCTAAGGACACCCCTGAAATGAGGACACCTCTCTAACAAGGACGCCTTTTCTTCCCCCAGAACAGTTTTAACCACTGAAATAAGTGCACTTCACTAATACGGACACTTTTCTGTCCCACTGGTGTCTGGATTGGAGGTGTCCCATACATACGTAGCTATTGTGCTGTTTGTTTTCCAGTGGTGGAGACGATGTAGCAGGACACCTCACTTCAGTCCAGTGTACCGGGTTTGAAGATCTGTTGGACTATTGCCCTCACTCTCTGGCCACCACTAACTGTAGCCACCTCGTCACCATCAACTGCAGTACGACTCTCTCTCTCCCTCTCTCTCTCTCTCTCGCTCTCACCTTTCTTTGTTTCTTGATGTACAATGACGAGTCCATAGTTTCCATCTTCTCTCTCTCTCCTCCCTTCCCCCCTCACTGCAAAAGGTGACATTCTACCATTCCCTGACGGTCTTCTAAGGCTAGTCAACACATCATCATCCACTTCGCTGCAAGACCCGCCCCCCAGCGAGGGGCGACTAGAGGTGTCCTACCACGGCCTGTGGATGAGTGTCTGCGGACGACTTTTCTCGCAGGAGGCCGCGAACGTCGCCTGTCGTCAGCTCCGCTTCGAAGCTCCCGCAAACTACTGCATCAACGCCTGGTAAAAATGCCATCTCATTTCTATATAGTACTTCTATTAACAACATTGTACATTAGAGCTTTTAATACATTTAACCTCCTTTAACCATAACATGTCCTTAGAATACAGATACGGCCGCAGAGACAAACAATTATCATAAGACAACAGAGAATACGAAAGTCTTCGTAAGCAAAAAGCCTTGTGAGCTGATGAAGCTTGCCCTTGGAAGTAATGGACTCTAAAAACATGAGAACAGTTTTCATGTGCAGATATTTTGCGTTGAAACTGAGCAAATGAAAAGCACTAAAGTGCAAACCCTCGGCGAACTGGGGATGCGCGGTACCGCTAATTGATGGGCTGGGCTGCTATTAGTATGCGTTTACTCGTGGTCTCCCGCTAGTAGCTCGCAGAGAGTCTGACACGGGCTAGCTACAGTAGTAGATAGTATTCGAGAGTCGATACACGCCCTTCGTTGTGACTTCTTGTGCCTTCAAGATACACAGAGCAAGCGGACCCGCTCGAGGATATAAGCGCATGCGCATTTTCCGCAGCGATAAAAATGGCCGACTACGCATTAGCCGTACAATGATGGAAGCGCTCTAGCTCTGCAACGGAGCATTTTCAGAGAAAACCGCCTTTATTTTCTGACCTTCGTCGCCTGTTGGGTAGATGGTATCGTTTCTGGGACGAACAGACACCGGAAAGTGAGATTGAGAGTAACAGACACACAGACAGACAAACCCAACTACTGTAACCCTCGCTGCGCATGCGCGCCGAGGGTTAACTAGACGACAGAGAGAAATGCATGCACTCTATCACTTTATTCATCCATGGCAACTATCTGTGCATTCACGCGCTCTTGTTTTATCTGGAGAATTTGATAAATCAGGAGATGCGATACGTCAGTGAAATTCAGAGCATTCACAACGTCTACTTCTTCACATCGTTTCTCTTCACCCTCAGTTTTGGGCAAGGGACGAGTGACATTCACTTTGGGGAGTATTCGTGTCATGGCAACGAGTCTAGCATCCTTGACTGCTGGGGTCAACATCCACAACAGAGAGTTCTGTAACCATGACTACGACGTGGGACTCTCGTGTTCTCGTGAGTCAACTAACATACACGAGAGGAGAAAGGATGATTGAAAACTCTGTTTCAGTCTTAATTTCTGTTTTTTAGTAACAGTCCATGTGTTGTTATCACTTGCAGCCCTGCGCAGTGTTGAAATTGTGGTAGTTCCATCTTCAGCGGCAGTGTCTTCATCTTCCCTCTCCCTCCCCCTCCCTTCCCTCTCCTCCTCTGTCTCCGCCTCTCTCTCTCCCATACCAACCAACACTGACAGCGTTCCCCGCAACTCAGTCACTCCAGCCAAAGATAGTGAGTCAAAATGACCCATGCACGTGATCACATGACATACACACTTGATCACACGACAACTTAAGACCATACCACATGACTAGAACAGCTCACATGACTACTTAGACCAGACCACAAGCGCTTAATCAAATGGTTTGCATACTAGATCACATGACTTCTATGCGAAATCACATGATCACCATTCCTAGTCAGAGTTCAGTTATCATTACCGCATACTGAGTCATGTGATCCTCGTAAAAAGTCACGTGATCTCCCCAAAACTCATCTGACCCCCGCTCTCTCATGTGATCCTCGTCAAAAGTCACGTGACCCCCAGAAGTCATGTGATCTTCTCTCTCTGTGCAGATCCGTTCATATCCGACGGGATAATCTACGTGTTGGCGGTTGTCCTCTGCCTCCTCTTCCTCTCCCTCATCTTCTCGTTCACAATCTGCTGCGTTGTCCGCAAGAAGAGAGAGTCCTGGGTTCTGCAGGCGCCCAACGGGAGCTATAGTGACAGGAACGTCGCGGCCATCGGGGAAGGGACGGACAACGGAGGGAGTGTCTCCCTGCAAGAGGTGATGGAGAGACAAGGAGATGAGTCTCCGGATTTTGATTTCGATGCCATGGCCGACGCAGTAGAGATGAAGGTCAGCCTCTATTATAGCTGCAGTTCACATACTGTTGTTATGTACAATACATGTCTGGTTCCACATTATGGACGTTGCCTTAATATGAATTTATAAAGTTGTCTATGGGCCTATAGTGCTGTACTGTAATTGACCCATTCAGCATTATTATGGCAAGCCCGCGTTATGTATGTACAAATATGGTTGCCTGAATTTAGTTTAAGGAACTTACCGAATGTTTTACGTAATTGTTAAATCTGCGGAATTTCTTCTCAATGTATAATTACTACAAATGATGTCATTGACAGAACCTAATTAATGCCACCTTCTTCTTCCCAGGCGTGTGCGAAAGAGGCAGAAGCCATGGCGGTTTCTCCAAGCCACACCTCTCTTACCTCGTCCTCCGGTCTTCCTCCGCAGTACCACGAACTAGAGTTTCTCTCTCACTCCATTCCCGGGGAAGAAACGAAAGATCTCGATTAGCTCGCGCACTAAGGGTTATCAGCATTATTGTTGTTGTTTATAATATTATTGTTGTGTTTGTTGTGTCAGCACCATAAATTGTAATCATCATTTTATCATCATCAAACACATAGTGATTTTACAGTTGCGTGACAAGAACAGCCTCAGGTGCGCAATAATCAGAGATAAGGTGCGCACTAATTAGAGTAATGGTGCGCGGTAATTGGAACTTTGCAGGGAAAGAGCAGAAGGGTGTCGGTTTTGTATACAGGCCATAATGGCGCTGGAAATCGAATCAGCAGAGTAAGCGTATACGCCCACCACAGCCGTATTCCTCCATTCTCGCTCTCCCTCTCTTCCAGCGTGATTCGACTCATAGAGCAGTACCTGAAAGAGAACAACCTGGTCCGGACGCTGGCCACGCTGCAGGAGGAGACGTCCGTAACTCTCAACACGGTGGACAGCATCGAGGGCTTCGTGTCTGAGATCACTCACGGACACTGGGACACCGTACTACAGGTAGCTACACACGAGTACTCGGTGTGTTGATTTTATCTATGTACATCTTTGTGTGTGTGTTTATATAGGTTGTACAGTCGCTGAAGTTACCAGACAAGACCCTCATCAACCTCTACGAGCAGGTGTTTCTTCTTTTTCACCCCTTCTACAGAGCATATTCAGGGAAACAAATGAAGAGATAGAGTGACTGTATGTCCCCCTGGTGTGCTAGCTGGCGACACCAGCCCTGCTTCTACCTTTGCATGAGGTTTTATGAAGATCTCAAATGTATGGGCATAATGCAGGACAACCTACATGTGTCATCCCTATATACTGAGTACTACCGTACTTAGTGATAGGGTGCACAGCAATGACAAACTAATTCGTACACACGCGTGCGTACTTGCTGTTTATTATTATGACTAGTTCCGTGGTATTCCCGGTCTGACTGCAGATAGTTCTGGAGCTGATCGAGCTTCGAGAGCTTGGAGCAGCGCGCTCCCTCCTTCGACAGACGGACCCCATGATCAAAATGAAACAGGATCACCCCGAGAGGTAATGGAGGAGCGAGAGGTGTGTGTGTATGTACAACACCTTTATAATGGAGGAGCACTGTTCGTCATTGTTTTGCCACCACTAATCCAGGTATCTTCATCTGGAGAATTTGCTGGCTCGCTCGTACTTTGACCCTCGAGAGGCCTACCCCGATGGCAGCAGTAAGGAGAAGAGAAGAGGAGCCATTGCTACCGGTGTGTTCCGTACCCTCAAAAGACGGCTTTTATCTTTAAATCCCCTAACTTTCAACCACTTTTTCCTCATCAATGCATGAAACTAGAGCCTGTGCATAACAAACATGTTGCTTTTTGTGCATCAGTTTGTTCACGTGGTGTTAACGATTATCAACTTACTTATGCTTGTTCAATACGACAATCCCTCCCTCTCTCCCTCCTCCCTCCCTCACCAGCTCTAGCAGGAGTGGTGAGCGTCGTCCCACCATCCAGACTCATGGCGTTGCTAGGACAAGCCCTCAAGTGGCAGCAACATCAAGGACTGTTGCCCCCAGGAAGCACCATTGACCTCTTCAGGTACTCTAAAATTATACCACCTTAAAAAATTGAAGGCCCTGTTCCTTGTTGTGGCCTGTTTTTGTCAAAATTGTCTTTTAGGCGTCCTTTTTCCTGTAAAATATTTATGTGATATTTTCTCTGAACGTTTCTGTTAGACTAACGTATGATGTATGACAACAAGTAGTCTTAAACCAGTTTTTGAAACCTGTTTTTCCCGTTTCCACAGAGGAAGGGCTGCGGTGCGAGACCTGGAGGACGAGAAATACCCGACCATGCTGAACAAGACAATCAAGTTTGCCAGCAAGTCGTACCCGGAGTGCGCCGAGTTTTCCCCCGACGGCCAGTACCTGGTAACCGGTTCTGCCGACGGGTTTGTCGAGGTGTGGAACTTCACGACCGGGAAAATCAGGAAAGACTTGAAATACCAAGCGCAGGTGGGCACCTATTGGAGTTGTCATTCACCCAACATCTGATGTCGTTTAGTGTGTTCTATATATAGTGGGCGTTTTTTTTAAAGTGAGTCAGTACTGTGTGAGTATCTGTGAGTAAATAATTACTTTGTCTCTCCCATGTAGATCCGAACCCCTACCAGTTGAGTTGCCCTGGTAGCTCAGTTGGTAGAGCGCTCGCCTAGACTGCAGAGTGTCGTGGGAATCCCACCCAGGGCAGCTCTTCTTCTTTTCTTTGAAAAGAAAGAGCTGTCCTGGGTGTAGTTGACTTGTTTGCTTTGCCTTGCCTTTCTACCTCATCTTGTAGTTGACACGTACAACTATGTGAAAGCCTTAGCATGTGATGCGCCTAAAGACACTTTGACTCACATACTCTCTCCTCCTCTCCCCTCTCCTTCTCCCTCTCCTTCCCTCTCTGGAAAGGACAATTTCATGATGATGGAAGATTCCATTCTCTGCCTGGCCTTCAGTAAAGACTCCGAAATGTTGGCCACTGGTTCCCATGACGGCAAGATAAAGGTATTGAGATCACATGATACTCACATGACTACTCTTTGAGCATTACATAATACATTTTGCCCATCATTTCGTGGTTCATTACTTTGTGAGATAAGTTGGAGTCTGGGGAGCCGTGGCAATGGTTTTCTCTGAAGCAAGCATTGTGTGTGATTGTCATGTGACCACAGGTGTGGAAACTAATGACTGGCCAGTGCCTGCGGAGGTTCGAGCGAGCCCACACCAAGGGGGTCACCTCCATCACTTTCTCCCGCGACGGCAGTCATCTTCTTAGCTCCTCCTACGACGGCATGATCAGGTTTGGAATTAACGTGTTAACCCTCTGCTGTGTCTAACCCTCTGCACATGTTTAACCCTCTGCACACGTGTTTAACCCTTTATTAACGGGACGAAAACATAGACTGTCCTGATCAGGAGTGTCCTAAACTCCGTGTCCTGATTTCTCGCAGGATCCACGGACTGAAGTCTGGGAAGGCCCTGAAAGAGTTCTCCGGCCATACGTCGTTTGTTAACGGCGCCATCTTTCTTCCCGACTCTCACAACATGCTGTCCGCCAGTAGCGACGGTTCTGTGAAGGTTTGCAGCTGCTTTCTGGGCTGTGCGTCCCGCCTTTTCCCGCCTTTTCTCTTCCTCACTTGAATGGTGTACAAATGTGGGTCTCTTTGCTATATAGGAGCCGTGCCGACCACACAGAATTTGCATATTATTGTAAACAGATAAGCCACGCTTTTACATGATGCAAGACATTGGAAATAGAGGGGGGGGTGGCTTCTAAGGGTTTTATTGCACACAAGGCTCACAAATATGTATAATTGTACACCCAAGGCTCACAAATATGTATATATAATTTTTACACGAAAGGACCTATATACTATATGTACTTGTTTATGTAGCGCCCCTTATATAATATAATTCTTTTCTTCTTCCTTCTCCTCACGGTCTCCCTCCCCCTCACCTCTCTCCCCTCCTCTATCTACATAATTATAAAGATGTGGAATCTGAAGAGTACTGAATGTATGAACACCTTCAAGCCTGCCCTCTCCGGTCAAGATGACGTCACGATCAACAGCGTCCACGTCTTGCCCAAAGTGAACGAGCAATTCGTCGTGTGCAACAAAACTAACACAGTCACTATCATGAATGCACAGGGACAGGTTGGTGCTCTATTGAAACAAAGTTCAACAAAGAATTCTCCCTCCAGTCTTTCCCTCTCCTTCCTTCTCTCTTGCAGGTTGTTCGTAGTTTCAGCTCTGGAAAGAGAGAGGGAGGAGATTTCATGGCCTGCACGCCCTCCCCCAGAGGAGAATGGCTCTACTGCCTCGGTGAAGACCAGGTCCTCTACTGCTTCAGTACCAACTCCGGGAAACTGGAGCACACCATTGTGGTGAGCACCAATTGGAGTGGGATTTGGTGGGCTCCATTTGGAGTGGGTTGTGGTGAGCACCAATTGGAGTGGGATTTGGTGGGCTCCATTTGCAGTGGGTTGTGGTGGGCTCCATTTGGAATGGTTGTGGTGGGCTCCATTTGGAGTGGGTTGTGGTCGGCTCCAATTAGAGTAGATTGTGGTGAGCTCCAGAGTGGGTTGTGGTGCTGGTGGGCACCAATTTGAGTAGGTTGTAGTGGGCTCCATTTGGAGTGGTTTGCCGTCTATAATGCTCATTTAGATGTGCTAAATGTTAAGTCAGGAATTGTGCTCTTCTTCACTGTCCTCCTCATTTCAGACCCACGAGAAGGATGCTATAGGAATAGCTCATCATCCTCACCAGAATATCATCGCTACCTACAGCGCCGACTGCCAACTGAGGCTCTGGAAACCATAGAAACACTCCCACTGCCACACCCACTTTTTCCTACCCACATTTGTGTGGCGCAGAACCGTTGTACAAATACACCACAATCATATCTGCACTACCACAGATGAAAACAGATGAAACAAACTTTTTTCAGTGCTAAGTGCGAAAAAAGACTCTTATAGCTACAAAGCTTGCGATAAAAATGAAAGATTTTGTTGTTGTCCGGGGTCAAAACTGCTGTCGTTGCCATGACCATCACTGGAGAGTGTCGTAGTTTTTCTGAGACAGTTTCTTCTTGATCTTGTAGCCCATAGCAACCACCAGTATACCAACGAAGGCCAGTAGAAGGAACAGTGCCAACCCTCCACACACGTAGAATATCAGTTGAGACAATGGGAAACCTGTTTTCATGGGAGAGTAAACAGAATAATTATTATACCAGAACTTCATTGTACCTGTGATTTTGCAGGCTGATTTATTGCCTGCCGATTTAGACTTCTTTGAAAAATCAAATGCTGCATGAAAAGATTATTAAGTATTATGGTGAGCATTAAATTGTCCATAAAAATCTAATTAGCTACATACATCAATCATCAAAAAGTATTGCATAATGAAGTATAATATTATTCATCAACTTTAAACACCACTGAATGTAGGGTATGTAGCACAGTATGGAGCATACGTAAAATATTAGCATTTTTAGCTACATCAAGCAGGCGGTATACACAATAGAGCATAAAGCAGAGGGTTGTAAACTCACTGCAGGAGATGGCAGAGTCCTGGGTATGGTTGCAGCCGTAGGTGTGTTTGTGGGACTGGAAACATGAGGTGAAGCATCGTCGAGATCCACTGCACGATGTTTCTCCAACCCATATGACCCCTGACCCCGGCCTGAGGTGTGTGCACATTAGTGGTCACATGACGTAATTGGACAGAAGAATGCCTATATAGGCGTCCTTAAAGAGAATGTGGTAGTTCCTAAGTTTAGAAAATGCTGCTAGAACTGAACAATAGTGCCCAGTGCAAGAATCAAGTCAGTTTCCATTTACCAGTAGCTAACAGTTTCTAAATCAAGCTCTTTCAAATGTCTCACTCTGAGCTGATTCCTCTCCCCAGAGCATTGGTAAACCCCAGTTGTCTGCAGACAGAGTCAGCGGCTCCCTGGCTCATGGCTGAAGCACACACAGTCCCCCACTGGTTCTTCTGGTGGACCTCCACTCGTCCACTGGAGGGTCGGGTCAGGTTGGAGCTGATTAGTCGAACCTGCCCCTTGTAGGGCCTACTCCAAATAGGCACCGGGTCTGCGATAAGTTTTAGGAAAAGTCAGGTAAACTAGCTAAACACTTTGCTGTGAGCTTATTGTATTCTAACAAATTTCAGGTCTTTAAAGTCCCACAGTAAGTTATAGATTCGGCAAGAGGCTCTTACACAATGTAGCTATGTGTTTGTGTGTTAGCTACACTTCTGTGAGGACAAATAGTGTGTGTGTTTGTAAGCAAATACGGTTCAGTCAAGTGACCCATTACTTACATTGAGACACAGTAGTTGCTGAGCACATCATGTCTACTGTGGCACTTATTGGGAAGGCCACTTGAGAGACGTGTATATAATATAGCTGCTTCAATTATGTACAGTATAATTTACATACATTATAAGTTTGCAAATAGTTGTGAAACAGAGTGCACATTAGCTCACTGCAGAATATGGCGACGTCTTGATCATGGGTGTAGTGGTAAGTAGGTGATCCAATCCCGCTGTGCTTGCACCTCAGAAGGTGCTGCTGGTATCTACTGCTGCACTTAAGTCCACTCAGGAATATCGTCCCATTGCCTACTCCAAACCTTTGGAGAAGAATAAAACACATTAATTCAGAGCATTACTGACTTTTAGGAAACTTCACAAAGATTTGGAGCATTAACGGTATATAGTACATTCACGTTGAGAAGGATGTATGTGTTAACTAGTATGCAAAGAGCCAGTATTACTTTTGTCTTTGATTTGTACACTTTGAATGGGATTTGTAGCTATATAGCTGTATGGGAAATTGCACTCTTAACATGAAGGTTGTTAGCTCAGTAGCTAGCTATAGCTGGCAATTACTCTGTGTAGATGGAATAATTCCAGTGAGAAGCAGAGTAGAATCCCAGCTGTCTGCAGGCCACATTAGCTTCTCTCAATCCAAACTTTCGTCCGTTCACTGTACCCCACTCTCCCAAATTGTCTTCTCCATCTCCTGGCAAACAGTCAGTATAAATATAGTGGCTTTATTACTGACATGAAACACGCAAAAGCAGGAAAATCTGGTAGAAATTCATTATCTCTTCTCTGGTTTATCTTTCTGAGGGACTGACAGAGTGGGGACACTCGGCCTATCTACTTCAGTTAGGAGCAGTTAAAATCAAATCTATCATTGTACTTCTGAACGTAGCTATATACCTCTGTTGGCAGTGTTGATGTATATTTCAAGACGACCAGCCATAGCAGTAGATCCTTGACCTTCCAACTTCAAATCACCATTACTCCATCCACCAACTGTAAACGGACGAAATTTACTCACTCCAACGTGTATTGTGTTCTAGCTGTATTGAACTAGCAGGTATAATTATAGTAAACATGAAAAATCTTCACTTACATTCGAAGTCAGACAACATAGGATCATAATAGTCATATTGCGGGTACGTCGTACATAATTGAACGGCGCACAGTAGCAGTAGAAAAGGCTCCAACAATCCTCGCTTCGCAGATACGCCCTCCGCCATATGAACCTGGCTTCTGTATATATACGTAGCTAAAGGTTTGTCTGAGCTGACTTGAATTTTATTTATAGACGGTCTCGCTGTTTGAAAGCCGGACATTAACAAGAGTGCAAACAAGCTGCGCTGCTGCTTGGAAGCATAGATCACGGGGCGGGCCGGCCGGGCTGCCGTGGCCGCCGGCCGCCGCCGCCGCCGCCGCCGCGGGCGATACCCTCCGAAGTGCGCATGCGCATAATCGCTGCGGACAAAAAAGCGTTGGTTGTCGTTGCCTTGTTTCACAGCAGTTCAGAGACAACAGCAATGAAAACTTTGCTTGCTGTTTGTGCTCTTCTGTGTTACTGGCAAGAGACGACCGGTATAATACGCATAAAGAAAACTGTATAAGGAGCACAAACACTGCGCAGCGTGCTGTCCCTTCGACTGCGGAGACGGTCACTGCAAACAGAGTGTGTGATGGAATCAAGGACTGCATCAACGGAACGGACGAATATAACTGCCGTATATATGTTGAGCTTTCTTTTAGCTGTTCACGTTTTGCTCTCTCTTTGTAGTGTCTCAGTAGCTTATACCCCATACTTTACCTCCGTATGCTAGAAATGTCAAAACCTTACTTTTGTTTGTCTTCAAAAGGCCCCTAGAGGTATCTATTACGTATTCCAAGAATGTACCCAAGCAGCAAGCTTTATACACTACAGTACTGTACCGCCTTCTCACTTTGTGGGCAGTATAGAGTTTTAGCAAAACAGTTTCAGGTAGCTATATATACGACTTCAGAACTATTATATATAGGCATTGCAATAACTGAAGACTATAATAGCCATAGAAAAAGTTCAGAACCCTAAGAAATTTGGTCACTTCACGCAATAAGGTCAAATGAGCACCTTACAAAAAAATGCTCACACCCTCATGAACGGTGCAGCACTGACTGGATCTATGGCATAGCTACACTGAGTCCCAGGTATATACTCTAATGGTAGCTAGTAGCTATATACGGTGTACCCAATGATTCCCCAAGTTTTGTCAAGGTCAGGCGATTGTATCAAACACTTTGAGTCCAACAATTGGTATATAAGCATGTGGGATTTATGAGTCCCAAGTAAGAGTTAGAATTGTGTTCCCAACACAACCTAGCTATACTTTAAATAACTTGGCATGAGCTAAACACTTGTTTTTCTAACATAATAATGACGCTCTTTTCAAGCCTAATTATTCTCTCTCCTCTCACTCTCAGTCTTATACAGCTGGTCACCCTTACAACCCAAATCCTTATTCCTACCAGCAAGTTCCTGCATAAAGGATGCCAGACTGCAGACTGTGTAATATACGTGACAGCTTGCTCGTGTTTTAGCAAACCTATAGTACGTAGCTAGTTCCTTTTTACAGGTCAAAAAACACTTGCTTTTGTGTATTGAGAAGGTTATTTTCGTGCGCAAGGGCAAGCCTATGTGTATATACGTGTACGTGTAGCGCCGCGCCGTCAATTACCAGTGCGTGCGCGCGCGCGCACGCGCGCGTCGTCGTCGTCCGTCCGTCTCTAGGCCGGCCATGCCAGGGCTGAGGAAATTATTCCTGGAATATTCTCGGATTCGAGCAGCCCCCAAAATTCCCGCATTCGTCGTCTCACATGATATTATAGAGTACGGAGAATGAAATTGTAGTATCCGGAGTTATCCGAAGCCAGTCCAAGAACCGTCGACAGACACAGTACAGAGCAGCATCGCCTTCCTTTCTTGTTGTTCCCTTGGCTGCCGAGACGAAATGAAAGTTATAGTCGCTGTTGTTGTTATTCTTTCTCTGTGGCAACAGGCCATTGGTACGTTGGGAAAGTAGCAGGGGCGTAAGCTACACTTTCTAACACTTTTCAGCCGCCTGTCCTGGCGGCTACTACAACTGCGGGGACGGTTACTGCGTGCCGAATGACGACGTCTGTGACGGAACGGACAACTGTTACAACGGAGCCGACGAAGACGACTGCAGTAAGTGAAATAGCTATAGGTCGCCGGAAGCTAATCTCTCTAACTTGCAAGCCTTCCAAACAGCCACGGTGAATGTCGGTCTCGCTGCGGGTCTTGCAGTGGCTGGATTCGTGCTGTTCATCGTCCTGCCGATCATCATTATACCCGTAGTATGCTGCTGCTGCCTCGGTGCGTGTGCTAGCGCTGCCAGCGCTCCACGCAGGACGCGCATTGTGACCCACGCAGCTCATGCCGCTGGGCCACAAGTCACTGTTGTCAGCGCCAACTCCTCCAACATGATGCAGGTAATTTAGATGGCAAATCAGGTATGTGTAATATACATGCCAATATCATGCCAATATTATACGTAATAACATTCACGTGTTGTTGTAGACCGCTGAAATAATGATTTCTCTCCCATACACACACACACACACACACACACACACACACAGTCTCCAGCTGCTGGATCGTCATCTTACCCTCCTCCATATTATAACCCTAACCCAAAGTAGCTACCAGCCGGCTCCTGCCTACAAGGTGTAGACAGTCTACACCAGCTGCTGAAAAGAACCATTTAGGAAAACTTTGTTATACATGAGTGTATTATAGCCAAGTGTGATTAGTTTATAGTCATTAGTGACGTACGTCGTTTGGTGATGCTCGTATTGCGCATGCGTAGATGCGGAGAATGCGCTGACTTACATACATATATATACATCGACACGACGACACCCCGTGAATATTTCTTCGTTGCGGCGCACCCACCTTTCAGTTGCGAACCGCGATAATTATGGTGCCCAGGCGCGTTTTCTTTGCTTTCTTGGTCGTCGCCCTAGCGGTCGGCTGCAACGGTAAAGTTTTATTTTGGTATAATAGGGTGTTGGGCACAGGCTAAAATCTATTCCCGTTCAGGTAACCTGCTTTAGGAGCCAGTTCGAGTGTGACAACGGCGAATGCGTGGACAACGACTACCGCTGTGACGGAAGGGAAGACTGCTTCGATGGCAGCGACGAAGACGGGTGCTCCGGTAAGTTGGTTTCCATTCTAGCTGAATCTCGTAACCTTCAAGAAAAACCTTTACAAAAGGCATGAAGTGTGGGATATTGAAAGTACCCTTCATAAAGTATATGGCCCAGGTTCTCACGAAAGATTTGGTGATTTTCTGTTGGGTGGGGCAGTATTTTTGCTGAATAGTTATAAATCTGGAACATAAACTCCTGCATCCTGCATGACTGGCATTATTTTGTGTGTGTGTGTGTGTGTTGTGCTTCTAGACGAATACCAGCGCTGTTTTTTTCCATTCAACATTAGTCTGGTATATACCTACTAGCCACAGATTCTATCCAGTCTTTGCTGATAGTTTTTCTTCGTGGAAAGTGTTTCCCCTGCATGCAGGAGGATATTGAGGTCCAGACTTTCATAACATTTGCAGGCACAGATTAATAGCATTCAGCTGAAGGCTCTGGGCATGGATGTGTGTTTTATGACAAAGTCATGTAGTAAGGTGGGCACTACCCAGGATGTGGTGCTTACCCAGACCTTTCCCAAAAACACTTCAGCTAATATGATAAGGAATCTGTTTACCTTGTAGATTATACAGTAGAATTCTTGCACCCTCACCCTGGGTTACCCTGGGTTACCCTGGTTGTACCACAGACGCCCTATAACTCAAAGGCGCCGCACGCAGTGTATGCGCACGGAAGACAACTTATTGGTATGCCATGCCATGGTGTAGTGTAACCTTTAATAAAAGGAGTCTGGGTATGGAAGGTTTCCCCCTTTCTTCCTCCCACACACACACACACACACCCAGCTGCAGCAGGTCTGGCTATTGGTCTCTCTGTCTTCTTCTTCATCCTCTTCTGTGTGGTTATCCCCATCGCCATATGTGTCCTGATATACTGCTGTGTTGCTGGTCCTCTCCAACACGCCCTCGGTGGTAGCACGGTTGTCAGAACAACTGTCAACACACAAGCGCAGGTTCCCGCGGCAGGTGTCGTCACAACAAGAGCCATGGTTTGTTTTTCTGCATACATTAGTCATCTCATATCCGTGATTTTTCCTTTCAGTTCCATTACACAGTGAGACCTGTGAATATGTGCCCTGTATTTAGAGGTGTTTTTTTTATTTGGACATGTGCAAAATCAGAATCCTTTTTAGAGGTGTCACTTGTTAGAACAGTGTGAAGTCTATTTCAAGGTCTCCGCTTATTCGAGGTTAAGCTGTAGTAATTCTCTTTTATTTTTTCAGGAAGGCGTGAAAACTGACTATCCACCAAGTTATTCTCAGCCAATGCAGCAGTACCCACCCCAGTCTGCTGCTTACCCGCCTCAGCCCTATGATACCGCGCAGGCTTACCCGCCACCGTACCCTGTGCAGTAATCCCAGGAGCTGACTTTTTTTACAAACTATTGACAATTACATTATGTAGACAGTATTGTGTCCCCCCCTATATATAATTGCCGAGCGGGAGCGAGCTAACCTAACGGCGCGATTTTACGACCGCGTATATATAATTAAAATCAGGGCCATGCCCTTTTAGTTGCTGAGGAGAGAAAGTTTGCTTCTCACGGTGCAGCCTGCCAGGCCGTTGGCATCAGTTTCATCCCTCTCGCCATAGAGTCCCTAGGTGGCGTGAGTGATATGTCTGCTGACACCATCTCCAGCCTGGGCCGTCTTTTGGGTCAGCGTTTGGGGATCTCTCCGGTCGAATCTACTCGTCATCTTTACCAAAGACTCGCAATATCTCTCTGGAGGGGAAATGCTTCTGCCTGGATTCACCGCAGTCCACAACTTGCCCCCTCTCTGGATGGTGTTATTTGACTCTGTGTTGTTTTGCGTTGTTTTGTTGTTCTTTTGTGTTTTTTTTGGTTTTTTTTTGTTTCTTGTTGTTGATCTTGTAGTTTAGCTACATGTATATACGTTGTTTTTTTCTTCTTTTTCTTTTCTTTGTAAAGACGAAGCCATGAAAAAAAGAAATAATATTATACGTCGTTTAAGTGCGGGATTACGCGCTTCTTTTTATCCGAAATGATTTCAAAATTTCACATGCTGCCTGAGATGTGTCGTGCGTGTGTGTGTAGCTATATTATAGCTCCGTATTCTCGCATCAGTCTGAGAGGGATGCTATTCGTCGTCGAAGAGAGAGGGAAAGAGAACATCGTGTCAGTGAGACTCCTGAGCAGGGAACGCGCATATTCTTTACACGCTACCTAGCTGTCATATCGATGCGAAATCTCAGCGAAAGATCTCTCGTCTATTCGCTGGCATTCGCTGCGCTCTTCAATACCTGACCGAGGCTGTATATACCTCTTTCCAATCTTCGTGGTTAAAGGTTCAAGTTGTAAATAGGCTAGGATGGCTAATTCAGATACAGTCAACACACACTCGCCAAAAATGCCATGCATTCGCCTACTAGTATTATAGCTCTTGGAGAGCGAGGAACGCACGCGGGCGATGTACGCATGCACACAATTCGTTGCGGGCGCGTGCGCGCATATATACGTACGTGTGTGTATAGAGTGGGGCATGCAAGCGACGACTTGTGAAAGACGGTGATGTGGAGTCGTCTTTGCCTACCGTTCTTGCTGGTTTTTGTCCTAGCGGACAGCTGCAACGGTAACAGAACGAGAGCAGCTATTACGTTGTGTACTGAGAGGGATTGATGCCATTTTCACGCACCGCACTGAACGCACGCAGGTTACTGTTCCAGTTGGCAGTTCGAATGCGACAACGGAGATTGCATCGACAGAGACTATATATGTGACGGAGACGACGATTGTGAATATGGGGCAGACGAAAGTGACTGCACAAGATACGGTAATCTTGCAGACCGCGGGCTCGTATAAAAGCCAAAAATTATCGGTCATTTTTTGTTCGCCCGTGTAAAAATCGTATGCTTGGTACGTTTGCAGGAAACTGCTACACCTATCAGTACCAGTGTCACAATGGGCGCTGCATAGACGAAAGATACGTGTGTGACGGAGATGATGATTGTTACGATGAAAGTGACGAAGCTTACTGCAGTGGTTAGCTATTATTGTATTGTGTGGGTGTTGGGCGCTGTCCTAATAAATCAACTGTAAGCCTCTTTTTACCTCCGAATAAATGACACATTAGGCAATGGAGAATTGTCGATCTTAGAGGCCTTATATATTATATATATACCGAAGACAGCTTTTTCTTGAGTTGTCTTTGATGTATATAGTATGCTTGTGTTGTTGATATATATAGTGGAACCGCTTTCTCTAAGGACACCAATGAAATGAGGACTAACCCTGCAGTGTTGTTGTTCTTGACTTTCTATTGTTTTTTCTGTCAGGCTATTGCTATAGTTACCAGTCCGAGTGTGATGATGGACAGTGTGTGGAGAAGGAGGATGTTTGTGATGGAAATGTCGATTGCTTTGATGGGAGTGATGAAGACAACTGCGGTCTCGGTAATAATCATCACTAACTGATTCATGTATGATTTATTATTGTATACAATCGTGAAAGTTTTTTGATATATTTTTGCAATCTTTTCCTTATAGTAATAGGTCTGGCTGTGGGTCTCTCTGTCTTCTTCTTCGTCCTCTTCTGTGTGGTTATCCCCATCGCCATATGTGTCCTGGTATATTGCTGTGTCGCTGGTCCTCTCAGACACACCATGAAGGGTAGATCAACTGTGAGAACGGTTGCCTCTCGACCAGCAAATACAACCTCAACTACTGTGGTTGCTGCTAATACAGCGGTGTGTTTTTAGCTTGCATGCAGTGTATATATAATATAGTCATATTTTAAAGAACACACTGACTTCATATTATACTACTGACCCACCCTTTGGGGTTATATAGCCCCATAGAACACCGTACATTCTTGCCCCACTTAACTCTGACCCACCCTTTGGGGTTATATATATCACTAAGTACGGTAGCGAGGAGTTAGGACTCCCACAGGTCATTACAACAGCCCTATATCGTCGTATCGGTGCTTTACTACTTCCTCGTGAATATATCAGCCAACCTTGCATACTTGAATTTTGTTTTCTTGCGTTACACAATTTTTCCATGTTTCCATGTATAAACATGTATGTCCAATGTTATGGTCAGCTGATTACACTTCCACCTAAATGCACACTCCATGGAAATGTAGCATGACAAATCTATCAAAGGTAATAATTAGTAAGTACTTCATTACCTATAGCAATATTCTACAGACTCTCTCATCACTCCCAGTCCCACCCTACGAAGAAGATTGAAAACTTTCCCTATCATAGCCCCATACATCTATGATGCTAGGTATTCCCACCGTACGACGATATAGGGCTGTTGTAATGACCTGTGGGAGTCCTAACTCCTCGCTAGCATCTCTGTGCTTCCACAAACACAATCCCTATCTTGTCTCCCTTTCTTTTTATACGATCCCTATATGCACTCTTTTTTTAATCCGCAGGATTTTTTATTACAGCCCCATAGAACACCGTACATTCTTGCCCCACTTAACTCTGGCTCACTTTGAACACATTTTTTAGGTCCTTAGCAATTCGTTGTACAAGACTCCATTTTAGGTATGATACCAGATTTAGTTCTCTCTATCTGTTTCACAAAATTTCTATCATTCCTTGCATGCACTTCATTTTCTCTTTTGAGTTTGTTCCCTCTTTGAAGTAGACTTTAGTTTGTGTGTTCACACCTTCTTCCTTTCAATTTCTCTCTGTGAGAGTAATATCTTTCTCGTATCAGGGAACAGTGAAAGGTGGTTATCAGCCAGTAGGACACATCCAACCTCTACATCAGTACCCACCACCTCCTCAGCAACAGCAGCTGCAAGTAGCCGGTGCTACTAACCAGCCAGCTGCGATGGTCGGAGGTTACCAGCCCCCACCTCTGGTGTACTCTCCTGCAAACAGCAAAATACCCGCTGCAGCTGAACCTTGAAACTGTGTGGTAGCTGCTGCTATCTCTAGCTCCAGCTTGACAATTGACACTGTAGCTTTTTCCGCATGCATTATGATAGTATAATTATGCGCGCGCGGCGCACCCTTTATTATCATTATAATTATACACGTACGTACGTACGTACGCACACCGCCGGCTGTGCGACTACGAGGAAGACGCCTGACCGAGAAAATGTCGACGATTTTTTGCTTGTCCTTCTTGATCGTCGCTCTGGCCGTCGGCTGCAATGGTACGCCAACCGCGAATTTTCCGCAACGCAGCCGCCGTCGGTTTAAAACACAGTAGTTTTACGAAAATCGCCTTTTTTAAAATCAACCCAGTGTAGCACTGAACCCGATCATATCGTGTGGCAGAAAACGTGGTAACAGACAGACAGACAGACTGACAGACTGACACACTTACGGGACAACTACTGTAACCCTCGCTGCGCATGCGCGCCGAGGGTTAATTAAATGGCCACCAGTACAATCGCCATAACTGCGCGCACGCGTACAAATATATGTCGGGTTGACGGATTGAGCAGCCCCAAAAAATTCCCAAATTATGCCCGGCATATACATATTTCCGCACCCCCCTATCGTCGTCTCGCATGATATTATAGAGTACGGAGAATGAAATTGTAGTATCCGGAGTTATCCGAAGCCAGTCCAAGAACCGTCGACAGACACAGAACAGAGCAGCATCGCCTTCTTTTCTTCTTGTTCTTTTGGCTGCCGAGACGAAATGAAAGTTATAGTCGCTGTTGTTGTTATTCTTTCTCTGTGGCAACAGGCCATTGGTACGTTGGGAAAGTAGCAGGGGCGTAAGCTACACTTTCTAACACTTTTCAGCCGCCTGTCCTGGCGGCTACTACAACTGCGGGGACGGTTACTGCGTACCGAATGACGACGTCTGTGACGGAACGGACAACTGTTACAACGGAGCCGACGAAGACAACTGCAGTAAGTGAAATAGCTATAGGTCGCCGGAAGCTAATCTCTCTAACTTGCACGCCTCCCAAACAGCCACGGTGTGTATATACGTGTACGTGTAGCGCCGTCAATTACCAGTGCGTGCGCGCGCGCGCACGCGCGTCGTCGTCGTCCGTTAGGGCTGAGGAAATTATGCTCAAATATTTGAATTTTATTCTACTCCTGGATTCTTCTATTATGTACTCCTATTTTTTTACCAAATTATGCTTGAAATTTTGAACGCAGTATACAAAACACAATAAAACAGTTAATGTCCATTAACTGCAGCATAAGTAATGTTTCCTGAAGTGTGGTTTCTTGTTGATCTCCAAAAGAGGACTTATTGCTCTCTGCTTCTCCTCAAAAAGTTTCTTCAGAGCCTTCAGCTTGGAGCTCTGACAACCAAAGCAGAAAAGCTTACCAGCAGACACAGTGAATGGCTCATCCTTGTATTGCGAGACCCTTTCGGCAGGAGAGACACTCTTCGGGTCGTTTTTTGTTGACGGAATCGTATGTTTCTTGTAAAACCTGACGCTGTTGGTCTTTATCACCCTCTTTCTGGCTAACTGAGATTTCTGTGGTGCCTTGAGTCGATCAAGTAACGGTGGAGCCGGAGTAGCGGAGCAAGAAGTGGAGGAAGTATCGCTCTCTACCTCATAAACTGACGACTGAGTGTCCACAGCATTTGAGCTACATGTATAATGAAAAGCACTAAAGTGCAAATCCTCGGCGAACTGCGCATGTGCGGTACCACTAATTGATGGGCTGGTTTTTTTTATGCCTTTACTCGTGGTATCCCGCTAGTAGCTCGCGGAGAGTCTGGCACGGGCTAGCTACAGTAGTAAATAGCATGCGTGGGTCGATACATGCCCTTCGTTGTGACTTGTTGTGCCTTCAAGACACACAGAGCGAACGGACGCGGTCGAGGTAAGCCTGTGCTAATTTACATATTGGCTTGTTCACTTGGTTTTCACGCCATAACTTAAAAACACAGTAGTTTTACGAAAATCGCCTTTTTTAAAATCAACCCAGTGTAGCACTGAACCCGATCATATCGTTATTTACCTGATTACGTGCGAGCGTTGGCAGAAAACGTGGTAACAGACAGACAGACCGACTGACAGACTGACACACTTACGGGACAACCCCCGCTGCGCATGCTCGCCGAGGGTTAATTAATTAACGGCCCTGAAAATGCTGACCACCTTTTTCTCTCATACTCGCAGGCTCCTGTTTTTACAGCAACCAATATGAGTGTGATAGTGGCTACTGCATAAGCAGCTCCTACCGCTGCGACGGAGATTATGACTGCAGCGACAGGAGCGACGAAAGGGGCTGTACCACCAACAGTAAGTTTGCGCTCCCCAAACTGATATATAGCCAGTCTATGCGCCTTCTTGCTGGACGGCGGAGTTCGGTGTGTAGAGTAAACTAGTGTACAGTAAACGACACGCGGACACCTTGAAAACCTTTTACAGAAGACCTGTCCTTTACTTTAGCGCTGGATGGAATTATATATAGCTAGCTTCGTTCCCAGGGCACGTTTTGTGTGATGTGTGTGTGTGTCCGCCGCAAGGGGGAAACCTGGGAAGAGGCATGGGGTTCAGCGGGCTTGCACTGCATACATAGCTACCTAGTGAGGGGCGCATAATTTCTCTAAACACTCCTGTAATTCCTTAGAGTATTACCTACACAACCAACTCCTGTACCAAAATAATTTTTCTGCTGCCGGATTTATGTATACTTATATATACAGTGCTGCGTTGTGTGGTCACAAGACCTGCAGTAGTATACCTATTGCTCTATCATCACACATCTCCCAGGCTCCTGTTTTTACAGCAACCAATATGAGTGTGACAGCGGGCAGTGTATTAGCGACTCCGATGTATGTGACGGATATGAAGACTGTTTTGATGGTAGCGATGAAGATGGATGTGTCGATGCTGCTGGTAGGTTAATTTAAAACACATCCTCAACGGCTGTCTTTATGAACTTTGTTAATGTGTATAATGGTGTTCTGGGTTGGCTCATGTTTGATTTGGGAATTGAAAACGCGCAAAACCACAGTTTTAAAGGGAAGCCCACTGCTCTCTGTGATAACTTGCTGCACTGAAAATTTTTATTTTTGAGGTTGCGCTGTACACACTAGATTTGATTGATGCAGCTATGTGCCATGGTGTCTCCTGATGTACCTGGAGTACATTCTAACCTTCATTGGTTGGTTCAAATCCCACTGGTAGAACTGGTTTTTCTTCTTTCTAGCGTTTTTATTCCCTTTCTAACATAGAACCATGGAGTAATACAGACAGCAACAAAACAAGCTTGTAAACTGCGTGATTTATGTACTAGGCACTGCGTATACTGTTACGGATAGAAACGAAACGAAACAAAACTGTTGTCAAACGGCATTCCACCGAGAGAAAAAAAATGCCCCTTCAAAAAGTATATGGCCCAGGTTCTCACGAAAGATTTGGTGATTTTCTGTTGGGTGGGGGCAGTATTTTTGCTGAATAGTTTATAAATCTGGAAGATAAACTCCTGCATCCTGCATGACTGACATTATTTTGTGTGTGTCTGTGTGTGTTGTGCTTCTAGACGAATACCAGCGCTGTTTTTTTTCCATTCAACATTAGTCTGATACCTACTAGCCACAGATTCTATCCAGTCTTTGCAGCCCTATAAATCAAAGGCACCGCACGCAGTGTATGCGCACGAAGACAACTCATTAGTATGCTTGCCATGGTGTATGGTTTGCTGACTCAGTCATACACTCACATGCGCAGGAGTAGTGTATGTCCACTAAACCTTTGAGTGGGTGTAGTGCAACCTATATTAATAAAAGGAGTCTGGATTCTGAGTCTGGGTATGGAAGGTTTCCCCCATTTCTCCCTCCCTCCCACACACACACACCCAGCTGCAGGTCTGGCTATGGTCTCTCTGTCTCTTCTTCTTCATCCTCTTCTGTGTGGTTATCCCCATCGCCATATGTGTCCTGTATACTGCTGTATCGCTGGCCCTCTCCAACAACGCCCTCGGTGGGTATGATCGGTTTGTCACTACAACTGGCCCACCCCCCAGCGAGGGTTCCCGCGGCAACTGTCGTCACAACAAGTGCCCATGGTTTGTTTTTCTGCATACATTAGTCATCTCATATCCGGCTTTTTAACCCTCGCGGCATGCGCAGCGAGGGTTACGGTAGTTACCCTCGGCGCGCATGCGCAGCGAGGGTACTGTACGTTGTTGTTTGTGCTGTGTAGTTTTTGTGTGTGTGTGGTGTGTGTGTGTCTGTCTGTTACTACTCTACACTCTCACTTCTCGAGTGTTTGTTTCGTCTCACAAGGATACGACTACTTAACGGGCAATGAGGTCAGAATTTTCGACGACGTTTCTCTGAAACTGCTCGTTGCAAGCTAGGAGCGCTTCCGCCATGTACGGCTAATGCTAGTCAGCCATTTTTATCGCTGCTGAAAAATGCGCATGCGCTGTATATTTTGAACAGGCTCGGGTCCGCTTGCTCGGTGTATCTTGAAGGCACGATAGTGCGCCGAGGGTTTGCACTTCAGTGCTTTTCATTACCCTCGGCGCGCATGCGCAGCGAGGGTACTGTAGTTGGGTTTGTCTGTCTGTCTGTCTGTTACTCTCAATCTCACTTCTCGAGTGTCTGTTCGTCTCACAAAGGATACGACCTACCTAACGGCAATGAAGGTCAGAAATTTCGAACAGTTTTCTCTCTGAAAATGCTCCGTTGCAGAACTAGAGCGCTTCCGCCATTGTACGGCTAATGCTAGTCGGCCATTTTATACCCTGAGGAAAATGCGCATGCGCTTATATGGGTCCGCTTGCTCTGTGTATCTTGAAGGCACGAGAAGTCACAACGAAGGGCGTGTATCGACTCCCACATGCTATCTACTACTGTAGCTAGCCCGTGTCAGACTCTCTGCGAGCTACTTCGCCGAGGGTTTGCACTTTAGTGCTTTTCATTGGGTTTGTCTGTCTGTCTGTCTGTCTGTTACTCTCAATCTCACTTCTCGAATGTTTGTCGTCTCACAAAACGATACGACCTACCTAACGGCAATGAAGGTCAGAAATTTCGAACAGTTTTCTCTGAAAACCTCCGTTGCAAGCTACAGCGCTTCCACCATGGTACGGCTAATGCGTAGTCCGGCCATTTTTTGTCCGCTGCGTTAATTAAATCTCAGGCGCGCGTGCGTGCATACGCAGAGAAGGTTGCTTCTGTCGTGTCTGTCTGTGTCTGTGTGGTTACGCTTATTCTGCTGTTCTGCACTACAAGCTACGAGGCGGCCTCTTAGCGTATACAGCGCTTCAGAACAATCGCGAGCCTGAACACTAAAACGGGGCGAATGTTCCTTAACGAAAACGCGCATGTGCAGCTTATATTTTTCAACAGCCTCGACCGGGTCGCGCTTGTTCTGTGTATCTTGAAGGCAACAAGAAAGTCAGCAACGAAGGGCGTGTATCGACTCTCGCATGCTATCACTACTGTAGCTATTCGTGTCAGACTCTCTGCGAGCTACTAGCGGGAGACCACGAGTAAACGCATACTAATAGCAGCCCAGCCCATCAATCAGTGGTACCTCGCATGCCCAGTTCGTCGAGGGTTTGCACTTTAGTGCTTTTCATTGGTTTGTGTGTCTGTCTGTCTGTTACTCGTCATCTCACTTCTCGAGTGTTCGTTTGTCTCAAAAGGATACACTTCTGAAACGGCAATGAAGGTCAGAAAATATGTGTGGTTTTCCCTGAAAAACGCTCCGTTGTAAAGCTAGAGCGCGAAAAGCCAATATGCAAATACACAACGCCTTACTACAGCAGATCGATCCGCGTGCTCTGCGTACTCGGAGGCACCAGAAGATGCAATGCAGGCTGTGTATCGCTCTCGCATGCTATCTAGTAGTGTAATTAGCCTGCGTCAGACTCTGCGCAGAGCTGGCAAAGAGACACGAGTAACAGCTAAAACTAAACCAAGCCCATCAATTAGTGGTACGGCGATGCGTTTTACTTACGCGTGCGCGTCACAGTGAGCGCCGAGGGTTTGCACTTCAGTGCTTCATTCCTTTGTTCCATTAGAGGTGTTTTTTTCCTTATTTGGGATTATAATGTAGGTGCAAATCATAATCCTGTTTTAGGGGTGTCCTTGTTAGAACAGATGTCGCAAGATCTATTTCAAGGTCTCCGCTTATGCGTAGGTTAAGCTGTAGGGTAATTCTCTGTTCATTTTTCTGGAAGATGTGAAAAACTGACTATCCACCAAGATATGTTCAGCAGCCAATGCAGCAGTACCCGCCCCAGCCCTATGCTACTGCGCAGTCTTACCCGCCACCGTACCCTGTGCAGTAATCCCAGGAGCTGGCTTTTTTACAAACTATTGACAATTTCATTATGTAGACAGTATTGTCTCCCCCTATAATTATAGCTCTTGCAACGCACGCGGTTTGAGGGGCGATGCGTGCGCGTAGTCGCGCGAGAATGTGGAATGGTGTGAGCTGTATGTACGTGTGTGCGTGGGGCAAGCAACGACTTGTGATGTGGAGTCGTCTTTGCCTACCGTTCTTGCTGGTTTTTGTCCTAGCGGACAGCTGCAACGGTGACGGAACGAGAGCAGCTATTACGTTGTGTATATACTGAGGGATTGATGCCATTTGCACGCACCACACTGAACGCACGCAGGTTACTGTTACAGTTGGCAGTTCGAATGCGACAACGGACGTTGCATCGACAGTGACTATATATGTGACTCGACGTGTGACTATGGGGAAGACGCGAAAGTGACTGCACAATATACGGTAACCTCAGGCTCGTAAAATATTACACCAATTTACGGGAAAAAAATCGAAGAATACGGAGGAGAAGGCGTGGCAAGTATTACGACAAGCTGGGGGTTCAAACGCGCTACGGAAAAGTTACGCAAAATACGGTTATATGTGTACCTTAAAGTTTATAGGAAGCTGTATTATTCAAAAATTATCAGTCATTTTTACTCGCCCATGTAAAAATCATGTGCTTGTACGTTTGCAGGAAACTGCTACAACTATCGTTAGCTGACGCTGCAACCATCGCTCCACTCGCTCCTCTCTGCTCAGTCATGGGAACCGTAGTAGCTCTAGTCGTGGATCGCATATGACGCGCTCGCTACGCATGTCAGTTTGTGGCATAGCTTGCACAACGTGGAACTGGTCGTGGAGCTGTGCAGTGTCTGTCGTGTTTCTCCCTCATCTCTCCTCAATAATGCTCTCTGATATTGCGTCCGCCCTCTGTGGCTCTCTGTGTGCGAGACACTACGGCCTAGTGAGCGTGCGTGATCTCTCAACCATAACGAAATAAAATGACACATTAGGCATGGAGAAATTGTCCTACTTAGAGGTGTTCAACTGCGTACATACGGCTAACCACCATACTCTCCTCGATTTTACTCACATATATAATGTTGTGATTCTTTGTGTTTAATAGTTTAGCTTGAAGCTTGTTCAGTTGACATAACAGTGTCAACCCGCCTCCTAAGACATTTTACTTCATAGGAAATGAGAGCCACAGTACCTCCGTTGCTCTCACGCTCCTGTGAATTCCATTTCCTCGTCTGTCTAATCTATTGTTTTATATCTGTGCTAGACGCAGCTAGCTGCTTCTAACCTAAGTTATAGCAGTACGGGCTTAATGCGTAAGTTGGGCCATGCTGTGTGTATGCTCACCGTGCCTGTGCGTGAAGAAGTGTGCGGATGCGTCTTGGCTCGATGACGTAATGGTCGAATTTGCGCTCTTAGAGAGATGGGGAAGTGGATATGTTGTCTAAGTGCATCCAAGCTGCCTGTGTGTGTTTACGCTTATTTGGACTACAGGCTACGAGGCGCCATTAGCGATACCAGCGGCTTTCCAGAAAACGCGCTGCATGCTCAAAAGTGATAAAGGGTGAATCTCTCTACTCTTAAATAATGTAATTCATTTGTTAAATATTATTATGTATATACTAATCGTGAAAGTTTTTGATATAATGTTTTGCAATCTTTTCCTTATAGTCACTGCAACAGGGCTCGCTATTGGTCTGTCTGTCTTCTTCTTCGTACTCTTCTGTGTGGTTATCCCCATCGCCATATGTGTCCTGGTATACTGCTGTGTTGCCCAACATACCTTGAAAGGGTAGATCAACTGTGAGAACGGTTGCCTCTCGCCCAGCAAATACCACCTCAACTACTGTGGTTGCTGCTAAATACAGCGGTTTGTGGTTTTTAGTGCAGTGTTTCTTGCATGCAGTGTATATATATATAGATCATATTTAAGGACACACACTGACTTCGTATTATACTACTGGCTCACCCTTTGGGGTTATATAGCCCCATAGAACACCTGTACATTCTTGCCCCACTTAACTCTGACCCACCCTTTGGGGTTATATAGCCCCATAGACACTGTACATTCTTGCCCACTTAACTCTGCTCACCTTGGGGTTATATAGCCCCATAGAACACCTGTACATTCTGCCCCACTTAACTCTGGCTCACTTTGAACAATTTTTTAGTCTTAGCAATTTGTTGTAATACGACTCCATTTTAGGTATGATACCAGTAGTTCTCTCTATCTGTTTCACTAAATTTCTATCATTCCTTGCATGCACTTCATTTTCTCTTTTGAGTTTGTTCTCTTTGAAGTAGACTTTACTTTGTGTGTTCACACCTTCTTCCTTTCAATTTCTCTCTGTGAGAGTAATATCTTCTCGTATCAGGGAACAGTGAAAGGTGGTTAATCAGCCAGTAGGACACATCCAACCTCTACATCAGTACCACCACCTTCTCAGCAATCAGCAGCTGTGGGTGCTTTTAATGCTAACGCGACGTCCAGCTGCGTTATGGTCGGAGGTTACCACCC